GGCCAAGAAGAACCTGAGCTGTGAGACTGAGCTCAAACAGGTGGAGGACAAACTAAAACAGGTGGAGGAGGAGAACGAGCATCTGGCAAAGAACAACAAAAGCTGGGAGACGGATGTCAAACAGCTGAAAGACCAGATGAGAGAGAAGGAGGACAAGTTCTCCAAAGACCTGGCAGAAGAACACCTGAGCTGCGAAACCAAGGTTAATTTCATGAAAACCACATTTCAAGAGGAAGAGAAGAAGAAGGACAACCTGGTTCTGAAAATGCTGATCGGGGAGACAGTGGTTAAGGCAAAATTTGAAAAGGCCAAGGAATCCATATATATCCTGATCCAGGAAAACAAGAGCTGGGAGATCGATTTCAAACAGAAGGACATGAAAGTCCAGCAGCTGCAGAACGACCTGGATGAGCAAGAGAAAAAGTTCTCTGAAGATTTGGCCGAAAAACACCAGAGCTGGGCGACTCAGCTAAAACAGGTGGAGGCTAAATGCAAACAGGTGCAGAAGCAAAAGAATCATTTGGCCAAGTTAAAAAAAAGCTGGGAGACGGATGTCAAGCAGCTTGAAGACCAGATGAGAGAGAAGGAGGAAAAGTTCTCAGAAGACCTGACCCAGAAAGACCAGCGCTGGGAAACCAGGGTTATTTTGATGGAGATACGATTGAAACAGGCGAAGGAGAGCTGTGAGGCTAAAGAGAAGAAGATGGACGACGAAAAGACACTTCTGGAGGACCTGTGTCTTCACATGAAGAATAAGAGCAGAGGATTCTTCGCTCGCAGGAGGGCGACTGAGGAAAGGGACGCCATTTTGCAGAAAATGCTACGCAAGATGCAAGAGAAGGAGATGAGAAAGAAAGCAAAGGGGGAGAAAGAGGAGAAGGAGGAGGCTGGACGTCAGTAGCTGCCTTTTCCTCTCTTCTTTCTCTTCTCAATTTCCCCTCACCTCCTTCCTCCTACCTCACCCCTTACTGCCTTCCCCTTTTCATACTCAGGGTTTTCTCCTGGAGCTCAGGTTTTCCCACAATCTGTATAATAGATGTAAAAAAACTCACTATTAAGTCCCTCCCCCATTTACTGTACCTACTTCCTGCTACCTCACCCTCTCTCACCTTACTCCATCCTTTATTTACCTACTTCCTCCATACTCTCCCCTCACTTCACCCCAAACTCTCTCCTCCATTTCCCTCACCTCTTTCTTCCTACATCACCCCCTCCCTTCCTTCACATTTTCATATTTAGTGTTTTTTAGTTGTGTTTAGACTTGATTTTAAAATAAAATGTTAATTAAATGTATTATTTGTATGCCTCACTGTGTAAACATATACAGTATATATTCATTACTTTATGACATTTAGGTTACTAAAGTACCGGTATCTGTTCTATTTGTGATTTAAACAACTTTGAATTTAATAAATGCAACAACAATAGAATATCTTTGTACAGATTGTTTTTGGTGTTTCTACTTTTGGGTTCAATTACATTGTTTTGTTTTTGTTGTTTTTCAAAAATGTGAGGATTTCATAAGAGCTGTTAAAGTATATTCAAAGCTCAGGGTTTAAATGTAAACGTTATTTAATGTATATATGAATTAAATCTTGTTGGGTTGGCGCAATGTGCTGCTGCTGGTCTCTCTATAATGAGGTGAAGTTTCTGCTTTATGCTGATGATGGTGTTCTCTACTGTCTCAAACTGAAAAAATACAACAACAGCTGCACATAGTACAAAAGTACTGGCAGTAAATATGAAGAAAACTGAGGCCATGAACATTCATATTTAGGGTTTTCTCCTGGAGCTCAAGTTCGCCTGCAACTCATTCGCGGCATATCACATCATAATGTATCATATATCTCCTTATCTGAGTCAGCTGAGTCGTATCTGGCCGTGCAACACTCACAGTGTCACATAGTGCTGGGGGGAAACGATTATTTTGAAAACGATTATTTTGAAAACGATTAATCGGGCGATTATTTGATCGATTAGTCGACATAACGATTATTTTTCTGTTGTTCAATTCATAAAAAACGTAATGTAAAAAAAACGTAATGTAAAAAAAAATGTTTCACGATACTGTGTCTTAATATTAAGAACCTATTAATGTGTTATACCAGATTAACGGAAATAATCTCAGCTAACTGACGATACAAACCATGTTTACCAAAACAAAACACAAGTCTCATAAGAAGCATCTAAATGACCCCTGAGCGAAAAATGCTAACGGACATTGGCACAGAACTCAAGATAAAAGTACCCTTATTACTTATCGTAGCTGCACATACAATATATCCGATTAAAGCTGAGACTCCACAGATTATGTAGGTATATAGTATTATCACTGAGTGATCCGGACTCGCGACAGGGGAAGCAAATACAGTCATCACAACACGTACCTTTACAGAGCTTCTAGGGAGATCGTCTCACCACCGTAGCTGTCAATCTGATCAAAAGACGTGTTCAATGGCATTAAAATGAGAAAAAACACGGCTGAATCGGTTAATCCATAGGTTTTTAACGTCTATGTATAAAAAATATTGAATTTATAATCCATAATTCCATTTTTATGTAAAAATCGGAGAGCAAATGCTAGCTGCTAATGGTAGCCACCACAGCTAGCTGCTGCTTCCGGCCTAGGCTATGCAGCAGTCTCAGTGAGATATAAATATATAAATATCTTTGCGTTTTGGACAAACTTTAAAATATTCCCATGCTTTTGAAGACCTAGGGCGAGATGTTTTTGTTTGGGGGCTTCGTGCGCAATCCTGTGAGGAGGAGGTGGTAGCCGTTTCAGTCTCCATTGTGTTTGAAGTGCGATTGCGAACTGCTTGTTGCTTTGGGTGACCCACGTGTGTGTAGCGACCATAGACTGTATATATAAAGGTAGCGACGCGTCGACGCGGAAATATGTCGTCGACGATATTTTGAAGTCGACACGTCGACGTCGTCGACGCGTCGCTACAGCACTAGTGTCACATACTGTATGCAGAAGGATTATTTTAAGCAACACATTAAGTTGACGAAACACTCGAGACAAATGTAATTAAAGTCAGATCCACTCGTCTCTTAGACGGGGCAGTGATATCATAAACCTGTTAATGTATGCATTCAAACACTTTTTCTTTTGCCAGCTGTATTCACCTTGCAGGTGCAGCTATGTGGCTTTGATCCTGGATAAAGTCATGGATGTTTAAAGTTTAACGTCTTCATATTTGTCTAATATTATAGTTGACTTTTCATTCAGTAACTATGACGCTGAGCTGTCAGTACGCTTCTCCATGTTTGTGATTGGTCGAATGCTCCAAATACCACCCCTTTCATGTGAACGCGCACCTAACTAGATAGGACACGGCTGGCTTGAGCGATCCACTTGATAACCCACGTCGTAGTACAGTTTAGCGAGAGCGCGTATGTTTTGGATTAGGCCAACCGGCTAACTCAAACATATCCAGGTTAGGTTGAACCAGCTTCGTAGTACAGGCCTCAGGTTAGACTACATTACATTTCATTTAGTTTACGTTTTTTTTTAAAGACTACATATAAGAAACACCCTTATAGCCATTTCAACAAACAAAACATTATCACTTTTGTGAAGGAGGCTTTATCGCAGAATGTTTGGCTATTGCCTCTCACTTTCTGAATCACTTTTGCCTAATAAATCAGAAAATGTGTTTATCCCTGCAATGTTTGCAGTATGTAAATGTTATGAATAAACATTCAGAAATTGTCAGACTAATACCAGTTTTCAATTAGTTAAAGATCAAGTTTAAGTTAGTCAAGTAAATCACACAAAACATTTGAATACTCACCATTTACTACAGAGCCTTTGGAAGAATGTTCAAAGCAAGGCTGAGGTCAATCTTCTCCACACCAATTACCTATCACAGAAAAACATATTTGAAATGATTTCATTATTCACACACAAATAAAACAAAAATGTTCTGCTCCTTAAAGGCGACATTTACCATTTAATGATGTACCTTTAGGTTAACATGAACCGACTTCGGCCGAGATGGGTGCCTCCAGTGTAAAAATCTACAGTAGCCTACACTAATGCAATGAGTACAACTTTGTACGGAGCCATACACATCAGCGTTGCGAGCTCATTTCCATTGGTTTCAATGGAGACGTGCACTGCAGCAGCGCGCACCGCTCGTCATGTGACGAGGAACAACCAATCACAACCGAGAAACATCTCAACTTCCGTAAACACAAGTGTACGGCAAATATGGAAGATAAGTTCATTTCACAGCGGGTGGATCGTAACCCTTACTTGAAGATCTGTCCGGCATGTCCCCATATTCATGGTATGTGCACCGCTGCTAAAATGTAACACAATCATTAATATCCTCCACTTTCCGGGGGACACACCACACACAATATAGAGAGGCGAAGTCCCTCCCCTTCCGGGAGCCTCCATGGGACCCCGGAAGCGGAACATTATACATTGAAGTCAATGGAGAGAGAAAGGTTATCTTTTGATCCCGTTTGAATTGTGCCACGAATGACACATATGATGTTTGTCAATTTAAAAGAACATTTTACAAGTCAAAAAATGTAAATGTGTCGTAAAACTGTGAAGTTACACATTTGTTTGTGAGAAACCGCTCAGTGAACTACAGGTCTCTGGTCTCGCACAAAACGCGTCACCATCACAAAGATGGCCGTCACGTTAGCAAATTTCACCTGTTTCTTTCAGACTGAGACGAAAAGTATAAAACGAGGTGAACATCACTACAAGTCTGGGCATGTTGAGAGCTGTACATACACGAAAGGGGAGTTAGTCGGTTCTGTAACAGCAGCCGGGACCGGCTTTACAAGGTTTCGGTGAGTAATATGAGTGCAATGTGTAACGTTAATGTCAGCTAGCTACTAGCTAACAGGTAAATCAGGCTCCAAGTTTATTTATTTTTTATTAAACACTCTTGATTTACTCCAAAGACATTGGGCTGTGCTTAAAGCCAGATGTTCGTTATAAGCCTGATTCCTCCCTGTGAAATCCTCTGCAGGACTCCAGGCGCTTTGAGGGATTGATGCTGATTTCAAGAGCTGGCAAACGCTGTGCATCAAACGCCCAATGTAGTGGAGGCCACTAATAAAGTGGGTCTGTTTGGTAAACTGGAGGACATCCAAGCAGGTGCGAACTCTCTCTCTCTCTGTTTTTTACTTCTAATGAGTGTTATCAGTACAGGCTTCAGACGTCTAACACACACACCACAAACACACACACACACACCCACACACACACACACACACACACACACACACACACACACACACACACACACACCCCACACACACACACACACACACACACACACACACACACCCCACACACACACACACACACACACCACACACACACACACACACACACATCTGTATTTCTCTGTAGGCTGTCTCTATGTGAAAAAGCTCTGTCAGAAAACCTGGACACCAAGCGTCTGGCCTTTCCCAGATTTTACTTCATCTCTTCAGCTGATCTGCTGGACATCCTGTCCAATGTGACCACCCACAGCAGGTGGCTCACTTACACCACATTCCACTGAGTGCTGTCGACTGCTGTAGTATTTGCAGTGTCCACAGGGGCAGTCTCACTCATAGTTTTTGCAGCCAGCCTCAACCTCAATCATTAGGAAACTGTCTAATGCTTTCCATCATGGAGAGATAAATCACTGTTAAAACAACTCGCCCCTAAATGCATCAGGCATGCTGCAGAACATGGGTCTTGCCCTTACACAAATGAAAATGCTAATTAAACATTATTTATTTGCGCAGTGGTAAAAAACGTGAGCTTGTATAGAGCCCAACTAAATGTGCTTGTGTGTTTGCTCAGGTGGAGAAGCATCTGTCAAAGCTGTTTGACAACATGGCTAAGATGCAATTTGATGCAGATGAAGAGGAGAGGCCTGCACAGAGCGCTGTGGGGGTGTTCAGCAGAGAGGAGGAGTACGTCCCGTTCAGTCAGCCCTGTGAATGCACCGACATACAGACAGCCCTATCTCTTATTCATGTGTCTGAAATCATGGTCCATAACTTCTGTGTGATAAGCGGAATGCTGAATTAATTAATATCTGTATTAGACTACTGCTGACCATGGCACTATGGCTCTCTGTAGATAGTGATGAATTTCCTTAACCTTTTTTCATGGACGAAAATATCAATATAGATATCACAGCCCATATTAAGGGAGGGACATGATAGAGTCCGTCATTGCCCCTGGGGTTTTGCATATCAAAGCCAGAAATCCATTATGTTTCCCATTACATCCCATAGTATTTGCTGATTCCACTATAATGCTTATTAATGACCTCATTAAGGTATATCGAAAAGAGCCGTTGGTGCTCAAGTCACACACATTGCAACTGTTTTGCTGCACTGTTGAATGGCTGTCTTTGGTTTGTGTGTGTAGGTCAGGGGTGCCCAACCTTTTTTGAACCGAGAGCTACTTTTAAAGTTGCCAGTCTGCTGAGATCTACCAGTCCAAATAGAGAGCATAGCCATTACTGACAGCCTACTACCAGGTAAATACACACTTCTACTTGTATAAACTGACCTTTGTACGATTAATACTTCATAAATACTGCAGATCCTTTATCTTACCTCTTTCTAATCTACACACATACAAGTATTTAACTGAAGTTACACAACAGTGTTGTTGATACAGAGTTGGAGTTTATCCACACGTCACTACAGTGGGTAATGTTTTCAAGAAGCATTGAACAGTGCTGCCACATATGACACAGGAACAAAAGAAAATACTCTGAACCCTTTATTTGACATTATATAAAAATAGTGTTGCTACAAAAGTATAAATGAGGCTTACTAATAAGACAACTCAGATCTGAAGCTACACAGGAATCTGCTGCCAAAGTGCAATAAAAAAGACATTAATAGAATCAAACCCTTTTTTTGTTGCATTTTAGTAGATTATAAAAATAAATGCCTTTTTAAAATAGGATGCAAGCAACACTAGTTTCTTAACCTGAATTGATAATACTATACAATTTAAGTTTGCATTCTTATACCATTTTGTACAATCATTATAATGACTAAGTTCAAACAAACTAAAACTTACAGCTGATTAATAACGGTATCTAACTTGAGTTTTTATTATGTCAAAAACCTGTTGAAATGCTTTTGTTATTTTTACTGTCCCCAAAAAGCGCGTCGGCAGCCTCCAGGAATGCTTCTTTCACAACTTCGCCGTCTTTGAAAGACTTCATGTGTTTCGCAAGAATGTGACTGACACGATAAGATGCTCTGGTAGCAGCCTTGCTCTTGTTGTTGGGCCTGGGTGAAAATGGACTGCTGTGCATTTAGCTGTCCTTTCAGGCCCCTCCCCTTTTGGGAGCGTGGGCAGAATTAGGAGGGAATTCCGTCTCGTAGCGTTTGTGCACTGTTTTGAAATGCCGCTCCTAAATTACCCTTCTTCGATAAAGCCACGCTCGCATTGCAGATGAGACAGATGGACTTTGAATTGGAATAGATACAAAAATAATCATCCTCCCACTCGGAGTGAAAATTATATATTTTGGGCTTTTTTGCTTCTGCCATAATTGCGGTCTTGTGTGTGTGCGGACTGTCACTCCTGTTGACACGGACAACGTCAGCCAACTAGTGCCCACTGCCCACCAGCCACGCCCCGACACATGGGGTCCCCAGTAGTTATAAGGATGCGGCATCCATTACATTAGTATGCATACAAAGTGACAGGTGCTGTGACAGGTCCACCTCTCCCTACTTATGCTAATGAGCCATTTGATATGCTAATGAGCCCTTTGTTAGAGGTGTTATCACATGTAGGTGTGATATCACACGTAGGCGTTTTCTCTCACAAAGGAACTGTAAGATACACGTTTATGTATGCAAAAAGTCTAAATAGATGTTATTTAAGAATGTGAGTCTTCTAGCAGCTTTTGATTTAAGTAAGACAATCCAGTTAAAAATGTCGTTTTTGATGACTTTACTGATTTTTTGCTTTTTTTCTGCTACCAAGATACTTTTTTTGTTCTGAAAACGTTACTACTGGTAGAATGTCAATCACTTTGTAACACATGTATTTTCTTCAAAGACTGTGACTCAAAAGACAAGTTTGTGATTTTAACACAACTTAACAGTTCAGATCACTCAGTAATGATACTATTACCTAAATAATCTGTGGAACCTCAGCTTTAATCGGATATCTTGTATGTGCAGCTACGATAAGTAATAATAAGGGTACTTTTATCTTGAGTTCTGTGCCAAAGTGCGTTTTTCGCTCAGGGGTCATTTAGATGCTTCTTATGAGACTTGTGTTTTGTTTTGGTAAAAAATGGTTTGTATAGTCAGTTAGCTGAGATTATTCCGTTAATCTGGTAAACACACATTAATAGGTTCTTAAATATTACGATCCCCCTGAGACACTGTCGTGAAAAAAAAACGTAAATACCACCCGGGGACTTTGGGGTTTAACAGGTTAAAAAAAACGCATATATTACCGCAGGGGGGGAAAAAACCGCGATGTCAGTTTTTTTCAATACCGTGCAGCCCTAGTATGAATCATTAAAAAAATGATGAATGAACATTTGCTGCTCAGTACCCAAACATAAATATTAAATATGTCTCATCTCATCATTAAAACATGAAAAATAAAATGACGGGTAATAATGGATTATGACGGAAATTTTACGATCCTAATATCAAATCAAAATGACGGACAAGAAAAAGTCTAACGCAAAGACTACACGAACACTGAGACTGATTATCCCGAATTGGGAAGATGTTGTCACAGCAGCAATGTTGTCATGCATTACACGAGGTAAAAAGATACAATACGATTTTTTCACAATATCCTTTATTGGTATTTTCTTATATTGGAACAAACAAATCAAAAGAACAAACAAAAAAACATGTACTTCACACACTTACATACACACACCCTTAACTTGCACTAAGACTAAATAGCATACATATACAATACAAAAAATTGAAACATTTCACAAATGTCCTTTCAAAGGCAGTCAACATTCCCATCCCTCTAATGTTCATAATACTGTTCCCAGAGCTGTTTGAAGTCCTTCCGCTTGCCTTTAGCGATGTATGTCAGTCTTTTCCAGACCAACACTACCCGAAGGTCCTTTATCAAAATCATTTTTTCCAACACAGAGCCATAGCCCTCCCTGGCTTGAAGAAGTTCAAAAGTTTGGTCCGTTTGACGTCTGTTTGAAGTCCTTTGGATATATTCCAAAATATACAATAAGATACAAATATAATAAAAAATGTACATTAGCGGCAAGTATATATAAATTAAAAACAAATAACTTAGCAGTAAGTATATACAAATTCACAATGCAAAGGACGTATATTACTAGAGAATCTAAATAATACACAATATAACGAAAACATTGAATAAATTGAATAATCTAATATACTACAGACACATATTGGCATAGGATTATTTATACTGTACTACTATAGGTAGAGAGTTTTTCACTGATTTACTCATGTAATCCAACAGCTGATGGATTATGCATATCATGGTCTCTGTCTCTCAGTGACATTACAGTCCAGTGTCACTTCTTACTCACCTTTGCATAGTCACTCAAATATTTTGATCAGTCAGAACGAGTGATAAGTTACACTTCTCCATAATATGAATTCTTATCATTTTTCGAAAATGTTCTGAAGGGCGACACCCTGTGCCTGACATCACTGATTCTGCTCTCTGAATCAGTGAAGGAGAGCAGCCATTAAACACATCTGATTCAGTACAAAGGTTGATCCGTAAAAAATGCAGTGTCTTTTTTATTGGCTGTAGATGAATCACTGAGTTATGAATCATTGTAAGGACAGATTCAGCCTGGTTTACTAAAGCAGCAGCTCTGTATGCAGTGTGCTCCTAAGAGGGGATTTGATCACAATTACAGAAAGGCCAACTCAATCTGGAAAAAAAGTGTAACTATTAATGCAAATATTGCCATAGCATATTCTTTCTATTAATATATAATAAACATATATCTAATTATAAATACATTTGAATAATGTAATAACAAAAGGATAGAAAGTAAGACGAAAACACAACATAATACACACACAGAGAGCGGACACACTGAGGGAAATGCAGCCAAACACATTTGAACAAAACAAAGAGCGGTTTGGTCCAGTCTGTTGGGATTTGGACCTTCAACACAGGAATCAGTCATCAGTTGTGTTTGTGGTCCTTCAGTTATTTTGTTGCCCCTGATTCAGGTAGCACTGACCTGCACTCAGATCTGGTGACGTCTGATGTGGGCATGGCCTTTTCCCGTCTGGAGGAGGGCTATGATAACGCCATGAAGGAGTTCCACAGGAAGCAGGTGTCCCAGCTCAACACCCTCATCTCCATTCTGATTGGGCAGCTTACGCTGGGCGATCGGCAGATGGTCATGACGATCTGCACCATCGACGTCCATGCCAGGGACGTGGTGGCCAAGATTATCGCTCACAAGGGAGATACATCTGGCAGACAACATCTCCTGTATGCATCATGCAGGCTGTATTTTGAGACGCTGTAACCAGTGAGTAATGCACTTACAATATTCAACGACGCATGTCATTAGCATAATTAGAGTGTGGGAAAGCTCTGATTATTTCTGGCTTTATTTAAAGCTGTGTAGCTCTCTGTTCCTCCCTCTGCCTTTCACTTGCTTTTGAATGTGGAGAACTATCAGGCCTTTGTGTGGCTCTCCCAGCTGAGACACCGTTGAGATGAGAAGGACAAACATTGTTTTTCCAACATCTGTGACGCCCAGTTCCTCTACTCTAATGAATACCTGGGCAACACGCCCCGATTAGTCATCACTCGTTAAAGCGTTAAAAAAAACATTCCAAATGTACTATGAGTAACCATTGAAATTACAACATATATTACTACTAACTGACTCCACAGTCAAAACATCTATGTTGGCGCCTTTTCAAGATCAATGAAAACACACTACAGAAACATACTTAAACCAAATGAGACATACTATATGCATACACACTATATACATTTCACATGTACTCACA